AGTGCTACTAAAACTGAATTTTTACTTTTAAGGAAGGAAAAAGCACTTCTTAATAGTCTCTTACAGCATCTAAAGGGGCAGGATTTTTCTTATGACAGATGGAAGGAGGGGTGAAGCACGGACAAAGAAGTGCAAAGGAATCGCTAAACAAACTATGAAAGGCGGACTGTAAATGTGTGTGTATGCTAGAAAAATCGCGGAAAGAGGGAATATTAGTAATTCGGCTACAATTGAAAGAGCGACTTTAAAACGCTGGGAACTAAGAGGACTGTCCGGAGGCAGCAGAAAATGCAATATGTAGCGCATCTTCAACTGATAACAAAGTTTACAGTGTTTACGGCGAGCAGCCAGAATTAATATGCGCTGATAATTTACAAGCAAAAACTCTTGCACAGGAAAGAATAATTCGCTGAAATCTTTAAACTGCAAGCACAGCAACGAATTTATTCAAAAGAAAACATGTTTCTGCTCCCCGCATCGAATTAACAACGATTTGGCCACTGATAACAAGTGTTAGCAGATTGGTGAACGACTCGAATGCACTGATAACTTTAAAGTCGAAGACTTTTCAGGCAAATTTAACCCACACATACACATAATGAAGGACAAAATACTCCGAAACGAATGCCCGAAAAGGACAACACTTCCTCTTCCCGAGCCATTAAGCTTCCCATCATACTACCGGTGAACTGCCTACCGCTTTACTGTCAAGACAGGAGCGAAAAGAGCCGTTAGAAAAATGGCAGCCATTAAAACTGTACCTCTATCCTCCACCGTGTCACCGTTGCTGTTTGGACTCTCTTTTGTATTTTTATCTTTTGTTCCCCCCCTTCCGACCCTCCGACCCAGTCCTCCATCTTTCCAGCCCTTTTCTCAAAATATACTGCCGGTTTGCGACAAACAACAGATAACTGATGAGGAGTGCATCTATGCCCCGTGCTGGCAACAGCACTGCGAGAAGTACGAGTGCCGGGGAGAGGCTGTGCAACTTTTGATTACTGAGAACACTGGGGACCACCCGGACAATCGGTGTAGTGATCCACTGCCTGTGCTGTTATCGAAATGCTTTTTTGGATTTTTTATTGGTGCTTCCCCGTCTATAATCTATTCTGCTTTTCAAGATATTCATTATTAATTTCTGCTGTAGCCACACTTTCAAGAAAAAAGAAGTCGGGTGGGACGATACTGTTGCATCATGGGGCCGCTGAAATCATAACCTCCAGTATGCAAGATCATCATGAATTTATTCGGTGTCCGGTCGTTCATCGAAAAATGCAAAGTGGACAAATGAACAAGATGTAGAGACAGAAAGACGACGAAATCAGCGCGACGCACTTGTTTTTACAATTGCTTTAAAAACAAGTATTTGTTATCTCCATGGGTAGGAAACTGAGTGTGCAAGCTAAAATTAGACCAAACGTGAGTATGGGACATTTTTGCAAAATTTCAGCATCGCAGCTTACTTGGTACACAAAGTCGCCATTTCGTTATGAATATTTTTGACATGCCCTAAAGCATGGCGCAAATGTAACTATAATTCGAAACAGTCAGGTACACGTTTTTTCCGATGAACGATAAATGTTCTGACAGAACTCCAGCGTTTTTTCCCGGTTAGTTTTCGAGTTGGGACGCTAACTGTGAACTCTGACATGACCGTTAATACAAGTGTGTGCAGTAACTGAATTTGAAATATTTAGCTCATATACGGACAAGAAGTATTTCCCACGCAATTTCCTTTTCCTACGTTTACCGGTTTCTGAAACCGCTTTCCGCCAAAAAATTCGCACGTTTTTTTCCAGACGTCCGTACGTGAGACTTAGGTGCGCATCAGCGCTGATTTTAAAACGGAATATGCTTCTATAATTTCAATTTCCCAGCTTTGCTGGTTGCTGAGTTGGAAGTGAGTGACAAAGTTTACTTGCCTCCGAACATGCACACAGGTAACCTCTCATAAGAAATTTTGGCAATTGCATAAGACGGAGGAACGCGTAAAAAAGGCAAACATTAATAATACGGTGAGAAACTCTTCGGACCAGTGATTTTCAATTTACGCTAATGCGAGGACTCACAACTATCCCACATATTATTATCCATTTTCAGATGCATTTGGGGCATATGTGCAAGCAGCGCAAAACGAATGTCCAGACCGTTTGTCCACGTGAAGGACTGGAAATCATATTCCGAAATAAATAACCAAAATTATAATTTGACTCATCAATCATAAATATTATAGAACAAATCCGCCAATTTATAAATAATTAAAATGCTATTCATTTTGAGCTAAAAAAGTCTAAGCTTAATCGAAAAGGAAGGACCGGGTACCTCTCCTTTCAGTCGAGGAAGTATGTGTGATTTTTCCTGAACAAAGCAGAAACATTCTGTTTCCTTAACCAAAAGATATTCTCTCTGGAAAAATCCAAGGTATAAAAATACACCAGGAATCATCCTCACTAAATTTATCCATGAGAAAGGCTTTCTTATTACTTTCACGCTACAGGAGAATGAAGAATGCGGGAAAACGAAGATAACAAGCATTTCTACATTTATTGAAAATCTCGGTGAACATCCCGGCTGTCTTGATGCCGTCAGCATGGCTTCTGGTATCGCGACCCTAATAGTTGTTTTATTGGACTAGTGTGTGTCCCGTTTGTATGGCGTGTGTGTGTATGTGTGTGTCACACGTCGCGCCCTATATATATATGTTTATTATACATAATAAAGTAAAGGATAAGGTATAAAAAGGTAGGTGAGGCTCTGGGGAGCCGAAGCTCCCGAGAATAGGAGTAGTAGTATATAGAATAAGTAGGTTAGAATAAGTAGGTCGAAAATGGTGATCCCGGCGATGGGGAGGAGTGCTTTTATACCCCAGAGGACAAAGATCGGAAGTTCAGTGAGGGTAAAGTTTGAATCAAGGACAGGGGTACTGCGTCACAGTAACGCAGTTGGTCTTTAATCTATTTTTTAACAAAAACCATTAATCACTATTTTATATATTACGCGATTCTGGCTTCCTCACTTCACGCAAAAAGGGGGTAGCAACAGTCAAGCTGAGTGCCTGCTTTTACCACTGGTAATTTATATAGCTGACTGGTCTGGTTTGCTTCAGAATGTTTGGTTCGGCCAAACAACGGCCAAGAAAAAGACTTCATGGAACGAAACGTCTTATCTCGCTCTTACCTCCTCTCCTACACTATTTCTTTCCTCCTGAATTCCTTCACACCTTTGCCATCTGCACTTCCAGGGTCAACCTGAATGCTGCTTTCAGCTTATCAATTTAACCCCGTTCGGTCGCCACACTTGGACCATGTATTTTTCACCTGGTCATCGAATGGCCTTTACTTTTGATGTTTATCTCCCGAACGGCGTGGTGCACCACCTCGATTTTGGATTCGCAAGAAATGTCAAGAACAATTTCATTGCAATCTTTTTGATGTGCGAGAGGGTACATGCATCAAAGTTCCGGTGCACTCCCTCTCCCTCCCTCCCCGAACAGACCGTTGAAAGACCAAACAATGAAATTGGACCAAAATTTCGGAATATTTTAATGAACTTACGTCAGCTCGCCTATTTCCTCCTCGCTGCTATCGGCTTCTCCGCGAAGCTCGAAAGATAGCGGTTGCGATGCACTACGTGCTTCCTTCTCGGTCACATCAGTTCGCGCTGCTGCCACACTGCCCAGAGCCAGTACTGCCACCACTGCCGCATCGCTGCTCGAACCGCCGCCACCGCCGCCGCCAGCCATTTCTAGAAACAATAAATTGCAAGTATTTATATAGTTTTGTTAACAGTAAAACAGTCAAAATTACCCCGTCCCC